ATAAAGTCCACCCAATCAAGTGGTACCTGAACTTCAGTGACTCCAGACAATTTTTTTGAGAAATGAAGCTCCCAAGCATCCCAGCAAGCTGGTTTCTGTCCCACTAGATCTGCAGACGAGTCAGAATCTAAAGTTTTAGCTAAATACTTTCCTTTGATACTGAATCCTGGAGGAGCAAAGCTTTCTAAAGATGAAAAAGAGTGATAATGATTACATGCAGAGACTGTCAAGGCATTAGTGCTGACTGCATTGTTATCTTCAACGATTTCAAATTCTTCATCTATATTATCACTGAGAGCAGCTGCAGCTTCCAAAGCAAGGTTATATTCTTCATGTATGGCCAGCCTAATAATAGGATCATGCCCCTCTGCTAGGTTCAGACTAAAGAAAGGAGCTTCATCCTCAATATGAACTAATGGAGGGGGACCACCAGTTGGTTGAGAGGCAACAACTACAGGGTCAGGTGAGTTGTCCAAAATCTTAGGCACATCTAGCCCTTGATTTAAATCAATATCTGCAAGTGGACCTGGAGGCAAAAGGTTAAGAAATTCCCCATGAGCAGCCAGAGCTGGAGCTTCCTGCATCTGCACATGTGCAAACTGACCCTGGGCTTGCTAGGCCTGAGTTGGCCCCAGAAACAAATTGAGATCTGGCAGCCCATGGAGTCCCTCTTGGGACTGAATCACTTGATTTAAAATAATATTTCCCTCCATATTTTGGTTCTGAACTGCATTGACATGGTCCACCTGAATCACATGATTTAAAAAAACATTGCCTCCCAAATTCTGATTCTGAGCTGCAGGTGCATAATCCACCTCTATACCATTTGAGCCAACAGAAAGAGTTAGCTCACTGTTAACATCCATATCTGGCAACTCCACCTGAATGTTTTGTTCTGCCAGAGGCTCCATGAGATCAGCAAGCTTCATAAACTCTCCATCATCTAATTCTTGATCAATAAACGCATCATCCTCAGCAGGCATGGCCTAGTGCCCCCAGCCAGGGACCTGTTCATCTGCTTCCAAGTCAACATCATTGCCAAACTATTGCATTGCTTGCTAGTGAAAATTTGGCTGGTTGTCTCCCACAACATCTTGGGCCTGGTGCTCTTGAATTGGTCCCACAAAGTGATTTAGCTGGTTTGGATGATGAAAAGGGTTTGCAAGCTGAGGATGAGGGTTTCCATCAACAGGTACATGGTATTCAATAGGAGGGCCTCCTCCCAAAAGCTCTTGCTGCAGAATTATAACAAGCACTGTCCAAGATTCAGAATTTGGGTCCTCGGATTCCCCAAGAACAATACTGATAGGAACATCTGTTAGGTCATCCACCCTAATTTTTACCATGAGGGCAGCCTGCGTGCTTCTTGCTCTATCCCACATCTGCATCTTCCCAAAGCCTCTGACAGCATTGGCTAACTCATGGATTTATCTTTTATCAAACGGAAAACCCACTAACAAAGCCCAGATATCCCTATTTAAAGCCAGATTTCTCCAGTTCATACCTTGATTGTGTCTCTGGAAGATGATGTGAACATTCCCATAAACGTGCGGACTCTGAAGAACCAAGGCATCCCGATCAAAGGGGTTTCTTAGCCTGATGTATGCCTGTCCAAAAGGACATGGACAGATCTCCTGGAAACCCAAATGCTTGACTTGAGTGAGGAACTCACCGATGATTTGCCTCACATTAGGGAACATAACCTACTGATTAGGCATAGGAACAATAGTGACTATTGTCCATTCCTCATGGCGCGGCGTGGCCGGGTCTGTAATAACCCTAACTCTGGCCAGTCTTCCTTCTACTTCAATGGCTTGATGATGCAGTGGAAGAAAAGGAGTGGGGTCAAAAGGAAAGTTGGCAATGGCCCTACTGCTGAGCTCGCGATTGCCGACTGAAGCTTGCAGTAATCTGCTAGTTGTGAGGGGTGGCGGAGGAGGGAGCGAACTCGAGCTAGGGGAAAGATGCTCTGTTCTGGCTGGATTAGGTGAGGGAGTAACTACGGGATCCCGTATCCCAGAATCATCGATAACATTCCTCGGGTCTTGCACTCCAATCGCGCCATTAATGGGAGCTGCAGCGGTAGGAACAGATACTGAGGTGGACCGCTGATTTGACAAGGCGAGTGATCGGAAGGCCGAGAGACAACCACTGGCAATGTGGCACCACCCTTTACAATTACGACATCTGATTTTATTTTTGCAAGCCGGCCTTTCATGGCCCACCAGAAGGCACCGAAAGCAGAAGGCCTTGGACTGGGCCTGAGAAGATGGGCCAGCATTAACAGGGGCTGGGGCATGACCAGTTTGAATAGGCAAAATTCCCGCCTCATTATTGCCATCAATGGGGAATTTAAGGCGATCAAAGACCGTGGTAACTGGAACCGTTGATTGAGCTCTGTCGGATCTCTGATGAGGAGGATGATGAAATCTTTGATTCAAGAATCTTGGAGCCGAAACCGCATTGGCGTAAGAAGAATGATTGTTTGATCGAGTGACCAAAGTCCAACCTTCCTCTTGATCAGGATCTGAAAGAGGGCGATGTTTTGGCCCATTTCGACTCCAAAGCAGAAAACCCAGATTGAATTTCGAAATAGAGATGTTGCCCTCATTATAAATAGCAAAACCCACATTGATGGACGAGACAGAGAACTTGAACAAACATGCACCAAGTTTTTGAACTTTGTAAAGAGAAGCACGTCCATCAAAGCAGGAAATAAGAATAGTACCTATCGATTCTTCTGTGAGACGGATCTTTGATCTTGTGAATTCAGCCACTAGGAAGAATTCACGTTGACCATTTTCTGCAGTGAAATTGGTCGGTAAGTTCAGAGATCTCAGATACGGTCTTCAAATGCATGACCTCTTTCGAAGCGAAGATCAGCGAGAGACATGGCCGTGACCAGAGGAGCGGAGGAGTGCCATGGAGCGTAGGAGATAGTGCGGAGCAGGCGGCTAGGCAGCTACGGTGGTGGCCGCCGTGGCCAGAGTGGCCAACGGCGGGGCGGGCGAGGCGCGCGGGGAGCGAGACCTAAGCGGAGCGACCGGCTGTGGTTTTTCGACATACATCGTGAAAGATCGTCACCACAATAATTCATTCCTAGTTACCTATAAAGCATTAATTATTTCCTTGTAAATAATATTTGTAGTAACATTTGTTGGAACACCCTTGGCATCTTCAATCAGGATTTTTAAACCTTGTCATGACGTCACTCGCGAGACAGTAACATATAGTTGCCCATGAGAGAACACTGGGTTTGGGAGATAAACACACAATTTAGAAAGTGTTTGTCCTTCACTTCTATTTTTTCATCAAAAATTCTTCTACTGAATTCCCATGTATTGCAAGTAGTAACAGAGAGGAGTATATACCTTTTTCCTTCTGCAAAAAGTAAACACACTTCATATTGCCAAACAGTTTGCCTCCAATATCATATCTTCCCCAAAGGGTTCCAATGCTAAAGACATAACGAATGGTTACACAGATTAAACATATCAATTGGAATTGAGATTTGTGGTGTCAAATAAAACAGTTGGAGAACTCATCAAACGACCAAGAAACAATTTCTCTGGTACCACATGATGCACACCACTTTACAAAATCTACAAACCTAAATTGCAATAAATATATATAGCAACAAAACTAAGAAAAATATAGTGGAAGACTAAGATAATTCTTTTCTCAATAGTTTCTACAGATAAGCTGAAATTTTAATTGTAATTTGAGGAACTAAAATCATGGTCTATGCGTGGCTGAGTAGAATGTTGCCCAGTTAACGATTTCTAAGCCCAAGGAATAAGAATCAGAAAATAGGTATTAGAACAGAGTACCAGTAGGTACCTTCGCTGTAGCAGAGATTACATGGTGTTGCCGGAAGGGATGCATATCACATCTTCTGCATCTTGTCCAAACATTTGCATATACCAAATATGTAAATCCTTCTATAAACTTCATGTAGCAGATACTACAGGGATAACATACTGCAGCAGGAGATGCAGACCAAACCCTTTATGGCTCTCCACTGCCCATGTGCTGCAGTTAAATTGTCCGATCTTGAGACAGTAATAATACATAGCTATCATAAGGATAACCATATGTAGACTACATGTTTACCTTCTCCAAAGTCTGATCCTAAGGGTAACTTATACTGACTGTGACGACATAAGTGCGACGGATTGGTTATAGGTGTCGCTGTAGTGTAAAGGACCATTGGAGGCAGGAGATTGAGGCCCTGTTCGGAGAACCTCCACTCCACAACTCCTGAAATTTCCCGGAGTTGGTGGAGTTGCAGTTGAAAACTGCGAAGCAGCTATTTCCTAACTCCACAACTCCTGAAATTTCGTGGAGCTGGTGAAATTCCGAACAGGCCTTGAGAACTGTTATCCAGCTCAAACTCTGCAGAAGCACCGTAGCGCACGCACAGGATGGTAATCCAAGATTGGATTAACAAAGCACCAAAGAAAGAAACTATGGCGTCCAAAGAAACATAGCCAAGCTAAGATGGATTTACATGGCAATAAAGTACTGCACCAATGCTATATGTTTTGGGTGAGCCTCCTGTGAGAAGGGCTCGCCATACTGCTCAAGAGCAATGCAGAACTTTCTGTAGGATTCACAACCATTATTGTGGTCAATTTGTAAGGGTAAATCGACCAAATTTGACAATTCAAGATTCTAGGTTAACTTGATCATTCTCCACATCCATAGCCATGTTATAGAGTATAAAATACACACACTGAAGAAAAAGAGACAACACAAGTTACACAACAGTATTTGGCATATATAAATAGTAGTCGAAGCAAACATATAGTAACGTGTATCAGAACAGCATTTTCTCAAGAAAAAGCCGAGAACAGAACACAAGGAATATCACCACAGATCTCTCGGCACTTCGAAGTTGTTCTTCGTATCAAGACAATGCATAGCACAGGGACACAAATCAGCGGATACAACACCTTACAAGGCCAAAACTGCAGCTATATAATGTGACCCAGACTCAACTAATACCTTTCTGCCAACCTAGCAGATACAGCCCTAAGCTTAGAATAGACCTTGCCGGCAGGAGAACCTAAGATAAGACTACAGAGTGAATCCCTGGCAACCTTGATGTTAACAAAGGATCCAAGTATGTGGATCTTCGTATCAGCGATAACTATGCGAGTCCTCGTAGAGTTCTCGATGGCATACTTGGTCTTGCCTCCTTTCCCTGACAGGCGCCCAATGGCACGTGACAGATGCTCCCCTCTGAGTGTCTTCACATCCTTGATCTCAAAGGAGTCCACATACAGGTCATCAAGACGAAGCAAGGCAACGGCATCGGCAATGTCAAATCCAAGCATAAAAGCATGCACGAAGTCCGCGCACTTCTGAAGGTTGCTCACATCTGGTGTATCATGCCTCGTCTTCAGCTCGACCCTTTTTGCCTGTAAAAAACAAAACAGACTAATGAAATTGCTGCAAAGGAGACAGAGAAATGCTTAACATTCAGATATCTGACAAGTTCTGCCCCAATAATAAGCACTGGAAGAACTCCCTGCAGACCCAAAAACCATGAGAGAAACACCGGCCACAAGGCAAACCAATTGAGTCACGTGTATCTGTATTCTTCTAGAACACTATGCTTTCCCACAAAAATAAGAACACCACTAAGCTAATTGATCATGTCAGGTGCTCAGTTGGTGGCAATAATTCAAATCAGTAGCTTCACATCATGATGAACTGAAATAAATATGTATATGCAAATAATCAGGATAGCCAGCAGACGTTTACTTGCTTCAAGACATACTGCTAGCGTTTATCCAATTGATCGAATTCATGAAGAATCCTCTAATCAAAGCTAATCGATCAGATTCAATACATACTGCTAAAACACTGAACAATCAAGTTCGAAAAATAGTCTATTTTATCACCATGGCTATCATGACTACCTCCCATTTTTTCAGGTCAAGTGCACAGGGAATTAAAATACTGAACACTGAAGTTTGAAAACAGAACATGTTTTATCCTGATAAAAGTGCTAGTACAGTGAACTGAAGGAACATGACATACATCACGTGTCTTTTTGACCCGAATGTCTAACCACAGGTGCTTTAAGCTAGTGCGGATTTTCCCCATGATATACAAGTGCTTGAACCAAACCGTACAGGATATAAGATCATCAACAGACCAACAAATTTCTCCATAATTACTCACCGAACGGCGTGCTTTAAATGACAGGGAGAGAACGAACACAGGTCACACGACTTCCCCTAACTATTAGGACGCTGCAACGACAGACTAGAAAACTGAGCCGGGTCACCAACCTTGAGGTTCATGCGGATGTCGACCTTCATGTGCTCGTAGACGGGGGTGTAGATCTCCAGCCACGCCTTCTTCAGCGGCGCGAAGCGGTGCGGCGGCACCTGGACCTTGCGGTACTGTGGCCTCCCGCCGCTCATCTCGCTTGGCATCAGCGCGTCGAACCGCGGCTTCTCCACGCCGCCGGCCGCGTCCACCGCCATCGCGCCAGAGGAGGATCCTCCTCCCGCGGCAGCGGCCGGGGCTCTGTCGACTTCCATCGGGCTACGGCTGATGCGGCTGCGGCGGGGGTGCGATGGCGCCGGGTAGGAGGCTGCGGCGGGGGTGGGATGGCGCCGGGTGGGAGGCTGCTAGGGTTTTGGGACCGAGAGGAGTGAAAACTTCGGAACGGAGAGGCTTATATTGGGCTGTGGAAGGAGTTTGGGCCAGCACAAGACGATGGACTGTTCCTTCCCCTGTGCGACATGGGCCTGGCCCAGCGAGCACAGTCAGAGCTAGCGACAGAAAACTCACGCATGTTTTTTGTTTTTTTGTCGGTCTGTTTACTTTTAAGTTGAAAAAAAATACGAATTAAAAAATTGTTAATGAACTAAAAAAATGTTCAGGACTAAAAAATTGTTCGCAGATTTGAAAAAAAGTTCATGAGTTGAAAAATTATTCACGGATTTGACAAAAAAGTTCGGGAATTCAAAAACATGCTGATGATGTGCACATTTGAAGCTTTCGTAATTGGGATGTGTCAAGCCTTTCTGGCATTGGACTTTTTGGGTGATATGCATGATGGGATAATTCGATGCGCTCCTCGCAAAAAAAAAAAGAAGAAGGATAATTCGTTGCCGCAAATGTCTGGAGTCATTAGCATTTTCTGTGGTCCGTTGATCCACACACAATGTCACAGTGGAAATTTACTCCTGTATAGATCAAGAAGCCACAGTGGAAATTTACTCCATGTGTACAAAGATCCACTTCTTTAGTTCACGTTTCCGAGTCTTGCTTTCTTTCTATACAACAATATGTATAAATCTACAAGAACAGGGACATACATATCCTGAACTTTACACTGATGAACCATGAGTTCATAAGGATCATAACTACTACATCCATGTACAAGAGACGACCAAAGCCTGTCGACTTACTCGACTCTTTCCGTGCTCTGGTTACTTCAGACACATGTTCTTACAAGACAGCTTCACATACTAGCTTACAGTAAGTGGAATGCCCACATAACAAATGCTATTTACCCTTTTCTTAAACTGATGAGGGCTCGGTTAGCTTATCCTTAAATGGTAAGGCGGCTGATGATGATCCTATTTGCGTGTAATTACGCGTCTGGGATCACCTTTGCCTCCTTCGCAACATATGTCATTGGATGATAGAATCCCAGTAGTGAAAAAAGAATTGTCTGGTTTGGCGACTCCAGGGATTATGTGCCAGGGAAAGGTCCGCCTGAACTGGAAAGCATTATGAATGCACAGACGACCGAGAGTGAGAAAACAGAAACCCATGTATTCTCTGTGTACATCTCCATGGCATCTGTGAAGGAGAAGCGTGTTCGACTTTCAGCCCAATTGCGAATTCTATCAGCCTCGGCTGCATATACTGCTCTCCCCTGCAATCAGTAAACAACCGGTCAGAATTTGCAAGAGATAAATCGACAGAATGGAGGGGTGTTATATTATAGAAAGAAGCAGGCTACCTCTTCATCAAACCATCGGCCTCGGCGAACCCATGCAGTAACCAAGGCAAGCAAGATTCTTGGTGGTGTCAAGTAGTTTACTGCCTTTCCACTTCCTTTCACAACTCGCATTCTTGGGACCAATGTCCTTGCTACTGTTTCTGGAAGCTCGCATATTATATTGAACATCTGTTTATTTTGGAGAGATGAACCACTGCAAAGAATAGACTGTAGGTTAACAACATGAGAGCGGCATGTATATACTACCTCTGTTCCTAAATATAAGTCTTTGTAGAGATTCCACTATGGACCACATACGGATGTATATAGATGCATTTTAGAGTGTAGATTCACTCGTTTTGCTTCGTATGTAGTCCACAGTGGAATCTCTACAAAGACTTATATTTAGGAATGGAGTACTATATATAAGGAGAGAGTTGCAGAGTACAGAATGAACTTTCTTTTCTTGCGCCAGTCGAATCCTGGCATCTGAAGAAGTCAAGTAACTTAAGAGGTTACCTTAGAAGGAGATCTGTAAGGACCATTCCAGGAGACGCGGTGTGCACTCCAACTTTTGATCTTCTGCTTTCCTTCATAAGCGATGCTTGGAACTGCCTTAGTCCACACTTAGTTGAGCCATAACTGTAAAATTGCAAATCAGCATCAGATTTAGTTTCATTGTAAAAGCAGGAGCATCAAATACAATGCATCATCAAGTTTTAGACAACGAGAAAAGCAAGATACATCATCTCTACAATGTAAGTGTTAAATAAATGCGTAGCAGATAATTCGAGAGAGAATTCCTTATTTAACACTGTGTCTAAATTTTATGCCCTATTTGACATTGACAAATAATTTCTTCCCTATCTAACAACGAGTCTAAATTTTATGCCTTTTATAACACTTCTGTCCATTTTGAGCCTAAATAACACCTGAAAAGACCCTTTTGCCCTCTTATAGTATGTTTGTGCGCGCATGTGTGTGCTGTTGCATCTGTGTGCGTGCGCACATGTGTGTGCTACTGTGTGTGTGTGCGTGTGTGTTTTTGCTACTTTGTGTGTACGTGTGTGTATTTGCTACTACTGCGTGTGTGTACGTGTGTGTGCGCGCGTTGTTGCGTGCCTATGTGCTGCATGCGTCCCTGCTGCTACGTGTGCTGCTGGGTGTCTCTGTGTGTGTGTGTTGCCTGTGAGTGAGTGTGCTACGTGTGTGTGTGGTGTTGTGTGTGTGTGTGCGCGTGTCTGTTGCTGCTTGTGTATGTGCTGCTTTTTTGCAGGTTTGTGTATGTGCTGCTGTGTGTGCTACTGCCCTCTCTCACTGATGCTGCGTGTGTGTTACTGCCTCGCACACACACATAACACATGAGGGGCAAAAGGGTCTTTTTAGGTGTCATTTATGCTTAAAATGGATGAGAGTGTTATAAAAGGCATAAAATTTAGATTCGTTGTTAGATAGAGAAGAAAAAGGTTTTCAGTGTTAAATAGGGAAACAAAATTTGAGTTAGTGTTAAATAAGGAATTGTTTCATAATTCGATGGCTGAGGTGCTTACACAGCTGTCAACGGTGTGCTTGATCCTCCAGATCCTGCTCCATCCATGTTGAATACATGACCTCCCTTCTCTTGGTATTGCATGACATCCATAGCTTCTCTGGTGCAGAGCAAAGAACCAACTAGGTTTGTTGAGACGATCTGCAAGTAAACCAAGGAAAACAGTTTTAAGGAATAGTGAAATCAGATTGGATGATCGAGCATGATCGAGCTAGTTATAGTTTTCCTGTCATTAAAAGGAAGCATTACGGACAGATAGAAGATATCAATGAACAAACCTGGGTAATATCTTCATCTGAAAAATTTACCAGTGGCCTAAAACCTTTGTTTGTGCCAGCATTATTTATCTGTAGATAAATTAAAAGATCGTATTTAGAGCAATCTACAATGCAAATACAGAATAAAATGATAGGGTACAAGTCGGTAAAGTTGTATTTTTCTACTTTATCCAAGTGACTCTTGAGGTGAAAAATGCAGAACAGATGCTTAGCGGCATCCATTTCTACAGAATTACTTACCCAAATGTCAATTGAACCCAGTTCACCAACAGCAAAATTTACAAGCTTTTTTACGTCTTCTGGTTTGCATACATCACAAGATGTACCAACAACCTTAGCTTGTAATAAAGTTTCTCTTTGTTTCTTCTTGGCAACTGACAGGCCCTCCTGTATGTTCTCTTCAAGCTCATTGATGGTCTGAAGAACTGATTCAGGGCTGCCAATAGAAATGGAGATAGTAAGAAAACTAAGACAGGGAGCCATTGAACTAGAGCATTATGTCAAGGACTACTACCTGCGGGAAGCAATTACAACATGATCTCCAGAAAGAAGAAACTCCCGAGCAAGTGCTTTTCCTAACCCTCTTGTGCTGCCAACATAAAACTGCAGGGTCAATGATGATCATAAAAATAAATAACAACGAAAAAAAACAGCTTCTCATGGATGAAATCAGCGGTGTCGGATCCATGAAATAACATCCATCAATTTTTACTTCACATGTTTATAAGGCAACTAATTTAGGGGATTGTAATATATAACCGCACACCATAATCTCCTTCATAAACAACAAAGAGATACGTCACTGAGGTGAAATAGTATTTCCTATCAACTTATGGAGACATTCATTAGATTAGGTTATTTGTTTTGTTCTATATTAAGAGCATGCACACTACTTACTGGGAAAAGATTCACATGGCATGTCAGAAGAAGAATGTAAAATAAGCTACCTTCCCGTTATGACAACATTGCGAGGTCCAGCTTTACAATGTTCCTCTAGGACACTGTTTGCACCTAGCATTGTGCCGATAATTACTCCACCAAGCCAGCTATACCAAATTAGTGCATCCGTTTGGCTGTCTCCACCTAAATACAGAGGTAGACACATTATTAACTGAAACAAAGAGAAAGGAAGAATACAAATGCAATGCAGTAGATTGTACAAGAGTATATGACTGACCTGATAACTGAAATCCAACTGCTAGTACAACACCACTGCTCATCATAGTGATAACGTATCTCCCTACCTGAGTAGCAACCTGAGAGGAGAAGGAAATCAGTGAATACAGATCATCCATGTTTCAGAAAAGGAGTACAATGTGTGATCTGTCTCAGAAAAAAAAAGATAAAATTCTTTACTGTCGAGCATGCAAAGAGTCAAAATGGCCATTTTAAGTTTATAACACACAACTGGACAACTTAAATGGATTAAATACAAGTAGGCATGATGCAGCCGATCTAAATAACAACATATTTTGAACAAATCTTGCAAATAAGTAGATAATGCACAGGCGATTAGGCCAGTATCAGGCGAGAGTGGACATTTTGTTCACAGTCACAAGTAGCTACTAGAGAAGAAAGACCCTACCTACATCAAACCACCCTCATCCCCACCTCACCCTATGGACTCTTTAAACTAAAAATCACAGTAAAGTTAGCTTAACTACACAACGTTCGCGCTGCAATTTTAGGCTCATAATGTGCAGTTTTATGTCACTAAGATTTAAGAAATATCAGGCAACCTAGAATTTAGCAAAATCGAACGCGCCGATCAGTGTCTCACACATAGAGTGTGCCAGTACTAGTGATTGGAATTCTAAACACCAAACCAGAAGAGAAGATCAACTAGAATTTAGGCCCCGGAACATATATAGGATCGTTTTCAGCATCTGATGCGAGCAATTCTCGCAAGCATGCGGCTTAATTACGATATCTACCCCCCATATCTGCATATGCATAAGATAGTACCGTAAGTTAACCAAGCACCAGGCAACCGATCAATCGAAGAAATAAACCATAGTACTATCATCTAGAGCAACTGCATGTGTCGGGCGATCGACGGTTCGCGAACGGAGCTCACCGAGAAGAAGATCTCCTCGGCCTTCTCCACCGCGAGCTCATACTGCCCGCCATACACCTCCGCAGCCGCCGACCGGGACCCCGCGAGCCCCTGCATCGCTGCCTTCAGCGTGTACAGCGGCCCCTTCCTGCGCTTCCGCGGCTCGTTCGGCTTCTCGTCGTCGCCGCCGGCCTCCTGCTTGAACGCGCGGCAGCGGAGGAGGGAAGGGCGGTGGCACGCCTGAGAGACGACGGCCTCCGGCGAGCGGCGGAGGCGGCCGTGGACGGAGAGGTGCACGACTGCGGCGGCCATGGCGCGCTTTCCCCCGGAGGAGATAAGGATCCTGTGCTCTTCCTCTCGCTCCGGTCCGTTCTCGCTCGTACTGTGTGCGCTCCTTTTTGTTTGTGTGGGGTTGTTTTGCTCCTTAATTTATGGAGGGGCGTGTGCCCTGCACTTGCCAGTGAAAATAATAACGCGATGGATTTTGACGGAGAAAATTGAGCTCAATTCGTGGATACAGGCTCGGGTTAATTACAAATTATGCTTAGGTCCATTAGGTTCTCCTTGGCTTCTACAATCTCCGTGTACTTCCTCCGATCATTTTTACTCCGCGTATTAGATTTTTCCAAGGTCAAAGTCTTTGAAATTTGATCATGTTTATACAAGAAATTATTAACATTCATAATACAAAATTAATATCATAAGGTTGATTATAGAATATATTTTCATATTATATTTATTTTGTATAGTAAATGTTGATAATTTTTAATATAAATTTGGTCAAAGTTTATGACGTTTGACTTCAAAGAAATCTAATATGTATCGTAAAAAGGACCGGAGGGAGTACATACACTCATTTCAACGGAAGTTAATTCAGGGCCGAGGGAGTAATTTATTAAAAGAAATAATTCAACATGAAAAAAATAAAGAAATAATTTTCTGCTACTAGCAAAAAATAATGTGCAATATCATTGAGAGAAAAATGTGCTTGCATACAATTTTCAATTAATCTGGAAGTTCTTAGGATCATATATTCTCTCTTTTTGTAAGCAAAAGTTGTTTGATGTAAATTGTTTTATCTTGCAAGGTTGTTGTTTTGTTTCACTGCACATTATTTCTCTATCTATATATGGTTTCTCGCAAAGAAAAATTATTCAAATGTTGCAATGTAGCAACCATACCTAGAAACTTTGAAGTATCGTCAAATCATCAAGTGCCAATTTGTATCTGAGAATCCCCGCAAAAACAAATTGCATCAAAGAAACTTTCTATTGGGGAATGTAGTAATTTCAAAAAAAACCTACGCGCACGCAGGATTATGATGATGCATAGCAACGAGAGGGGAGAGTCCTACTCGGACTCCAGGACCAAACACCACAATCCTTGGCGTCTGGCCCAGACGCCATGGGCCTCGACGTCTGGCCCAGGGCCAGACGCCAGGGTCTCCGGCGTTTGGCCCCCTGGCCTCTGCAAAACTCCTTTTGCACCGACTTATAGCCCCATGGGCCTGACCCCTTGGCCAAACCATATCATCCAATATATGAATCTTTACTCCAGACCATTCCGGAGTTCCTCGTCATGTCTGTGATCTCATCCGGGACTCCGAACAATATTCGGTCACCAACATACATAACTCATATAATACTATATCGTCAACGAATGTTAAGCGTGCGGGCCCTACGGGTTCGAGAACTATGTAGACATGACCGAGACACCTCTCTGGTCAATAACCAATAGCGGGACCTGGATGCCCATATTGGCTCATACATATTCTATGAAGATCTTTATCGGTCTGACCGCATAACAACATACATTGTTCCCTTTGTCATCGGTATGTTACTTGCCCGAGATTCGGTCGTCGGTATCTCAATACCTAGTTCAATCTTGTTACCGGTAAATCTCTTTACTCGTTCCGTAATACATCATCACGCAACTAACTCATTAGTTGCAATGCTTGCAAGGCTTATAGTGATGTGCATTACCGAGTGGGCCCAGAGATACCTCTCCGACAATCGGAGTGACAAATCCTAATCTCGAAATATGCCAACTCAACAAGTACCTTCGGAGACACCTGTAGAGCACCTTTATAATCACCCAGTTACGTTGTGACGTTTGGTGGCACACAAAGTGTTCCTCCGGTAAACGGGAGTTGCATAATCTCATAGGCATAGGAACATGTATAAGTCATGAAGAAAGCAATAGCAACAAACTAAACGATCAAGTGCTAAGATAACGGAATGTGTCAAGTCAATCACATCATTCTCCTAATGATGTGATCCCGTTAATCAAATGACAACTCATGTCTATGGTTAGGAAACTTAACCATCTTTGATCAACGAGCTAGTCAAGTAAAGGCATACTAGTGACACTATGTTTGTCTATGTATTCACACATGTATTATGTTTCCGGTTAATACAATTCTAGCATGAATAATAAACATTTATCATGAAATAAGGAAATAAATAATAACTTTATTATTGCCTTTAGGGCATATTTTCTTCACTTTCAACACTATATACAATGGCCGGGCTATGAATCCAATCATGTGTAGTCAACTGAAAATTGAGTAATATGCATTACTCTATTTTTTACACAATTTCATCTCATGGTATGTATGGCTTTTTTGCCAAAAAAAGTCGTGTAGTTAATTGACTACACATATTGTGCGTGGCTTCGCCACTGGCTGCATGATATCATATTAGATAGATGTGTTAGATTAGGCCATTGAGAACCATAATATCAACTTGTTCATAGTAGATAGATTATGTTTGGTTAGTGAAGTGATCATCAAAAAGAATTATAAGTCATGTTTTCTAATAGATAGATGCCTGGAAGAAATTTTGTTCAGTCATTTTTTTCCTGTTTTTCTGCATGTTTGCCTTTTCCTTTATTAGTCGGGTTTTCCTTTATATTTATGTGTATTTTTGTATGTTAGGTGTGTGTAAATGTATATAGCGAAGTACTATACAATGCGTGTAAAGTGTACTAGAGTGCAAAATATTCATTATTATATGTTTATTATTGCAAGTTATAAAAATAACAACTTGTGTGCAACTTATTGTCATCATTTTTTAAAATTCATTTTTTCTTTAAGGTTAATACCAATGTCACTAATTCATTATTTCTTAGAAAACTTCGTCTTTTGAGAAAAAATAGTTTTGATTTTTGGTTTTTATATAGGGATAAGATTAATGTCGGTCGTTGACTTTCAGTGTAATGGTCCCAACGAATTTGATTGAACACCAAAAGAAATTCAAGCATCAGATGGATACTTGGCCCCTTTAGAAGGGAATATATTTCATTCAACACCAAAGAAAAATATATTAGTTTTTTTAGAACGTAGACGCTGGGAGCGTCCGGACTTAAATTAATAAAGCCCACATCGGAACAGGCAGAGTAGCTAACCACGGACATAACATGTTCGAGACAAAAGCCAGGGCTACGCGAGGAACAAGAGGTTGAAGGTTCGGAGCCTGACTGTGAGAATGGTTACAAGGCCGAAGCCCATGGCTTTAAGTGCGCAGACTCGCCAAAACAAAATAAGGTGCCCACCCTTAGACTGGCACCACCGGCTCCCTAGCCGCGACGTAAACCTGGTGAATACGGATTTGGGCATGCTTCATGAGATCAGCGTCCTTCGGCTTCACCAACGGACTCCATTGCTGCAAGAGGAAAGAGCATTTGCAGATAATATTAGCTGGATGCGTCGGGAGCTGTCCTTCGATGGTAAATTTGTTGCGTGTCAGCCACAGGGACCAAAGCATCGCGCCTATGCTAGTCCACAGTACCCTCTTGCCCTGGCCCTGGACTGAGTCCAGGAGCGCCACCAGTTCGGACAAGGAGCACGGGTCCCATGAGACCCCGGCCGCCTCACGCATTGCACTCCAAGCAAAACGCGCCAGCGGGCAAAGGAAAAAGATGTGGTTCACGTTCTCTGGGGTCCCGCACATCGCACACAGCCCGGAAGCCGGGCCATTCCTTTTTGCAATGTTAACAGATGTGGGAAGTCGATCGCGTAACAACTGGCAGAGGAATACTTTGATTTTCAGAGGGACGCGGGCTTGCCAAAACCCTTTAGCCACTGTCTGTACCGACCCTTGGCACAGTTTGTGGTACAGAGACTTGACGAAGAACTTCCCGAACGCATTGAGGTGCCAAGAAACCCTA